CTTAGATGGGTTCTTTTGTATATATGAAATCAGTTGTTTTTTGTGTTTGTTTGCATTATTTTTTTCTGAAAATTAAAACTATTTTACAGTAATTTTTACTCTTTATCATTATGGAATTATTTGTATTACTATAAAATCTTTGATTTTTATTTCATATTATATTTGTGTAAATGTGTGCTTCACTTACTTTGTGAAGTTATAAATATTAAAAATAAAATCTCAATAAAAACTGGTTCTTGTCTTACGAAACTGTAAGTGATTCAAATATTTGTGTAAAATGAGCAGGTCATTTTGAAACTTGAATTGGCTTTATGCATTTTAATTTTATCAAAATTAATCATACATTTGTAACCATTTTATTTTTCATCTCATCCATTAATCACATCTTATACATTAAGATATGAATCAGTTGGAATTATTCTTGCTACTAACATAAGTAATTGCTAGCAAAAGGATAAAAATCTCTTCTTCTGCTTTAGCCCATTAAAATGGAGCCATTAGTTGTCGAATCAAGTCTGTATTTACTTTCCGGTCATTTGTTTTTGTTTACTCTCATAAATTTTGTAAGCATAAAATTCTGACTGCAAGATAAAAATTTGCAAATGGTTCTATGAACTATTAATTTTGAAGCACTGAAAATTGCTCATCTTTTCTACCAATTTTATTCGTGCAGAAGCATATCAGAATGGTTGCAGCACAAAAGTATTTTGACAAACATCAAACGAAGAAGATTCTTGTCAAGAATTAATTTACTCTGCTGAAAACTCGTTTTGTTGCTTGATATGTCAATGTAAACCTCTTAAATGATTACTTCAAAAATCAAAGAGCAACGAGTAAATGACTCAGTGAATCAGAACTATTTGATAAATTATGATAGCATCAGTTTTGGTGATGACATGGAAGTTTGACTAATTGCAATTCTCAGTTCGGGCGTAGATGGTCAGGTTTGAAAGTTATGGATGACTTCTGGGAATGAATTTAAAAAATTCAATTCAAATATGTGGCTAACCTACTCACTGCAATCATGATACAAAATGTGTGAAATTGCTATAGGATGATTGTAGATTTAATTACTCATGCCAAGACTCAAGTTTGAATTTCAAGACTAAACATTCATCGAGTATACATTATAAGAGCTATTTAATTAGTTATTTTTTATTTTCTTCAACTTTTTGATATTTCAAATTGTAAATCAAAAATGTATACTACGAAAGTGTCAGAATAAATGTAAGAAAAACGCATCTAGAAATGCTTTTCTGATTTTTTAATCACTTTTCAACCCAATGACTCCATCAAGACTGAGTGAGAACTGAAGTTTTAAAATAAATCAATCTAGACAGAAAGTAAGTAGCTATTATTCAGTGCAGTCACAGCATTGACATTTAAATAACTGCTCTCACTACTTATCCCATAAAAATGATTAATTTTAATAATTGATAATGCTTACTTTCAGTGCATCTGTGATAACAATTGCTTTTGCTTCTTCGATTGCTTTATTTTTGATAAAATCACAGGTGATAAATTTGCTAATTATTATAAAAGTGATAAGAGCTGTAGAAAGCTCCCAGAGATGTTGTTGATATTATTGATGCCATTTATGGTAACAGACGCATTTCGGACACAGTCAGCCGGAGTGCGAGGGATTTTGATGTGTGGTAATGAACCTCTTGCAAATGCAAAGGTTAAATTGTGGGATGACGATTCTGGTTAGTAAATTTTGCATGTTATTCAATTAATTGAAATATATGCATAAACTTTGTGTGTACAACAAATCCCTCTAATTAGCACTGGTATTACTACTTAATCATTTGTTACCGATCCTAACAAAATCAACCATAATAACAGTATTAATGATGTATCGAAATAAAAGTATTATTCTACTGAGTAGCAAAGTTGTGTATAACATATGTAAAGGTATATTTGACATCTGTTCCAGCATTAAGACATGATGGATGTATTTGAATTATTAAACTGCCATTTGATTAATTTAATAAATTAGCCATCAAACCAAATAATTTGTTTCACTAAATTAATTGCTTACTAACTGCTTCATTTAAAATTGCAAATTTTCGCTTTGTATTGTTAGCAAATTTTATAACAATTAAAAAAAAAACACTTATAATTATTTCTACCTCCCAATTATCCTATTCATATTGGATCAGATTTAAAATTTATATTCATAACTTTTGGTACAAATTTTTGAGGATTGGATATGGATGACCTGCTACAGGAAGGGACCACAAATGCTCAAGGTTTTTTTGAACTAAGTGGATATACTAGTGAAATAACAACAATTGATCCAATCCTCAAAGTATATCACGATTGTGATGATCGAATCATGGTTAGCAAATTATTAGAATTTTACGGTTTGAAATTAAGTAAACAAAATGAAATCATAATTCATTCCATTTTTATTTTTAATACTTTCTATATATTTACATTGATATTTATAGCTTTTGCTTGAGATAATTGTAAGAACCTTAAAAAATATGCATATTTTTAATATTTCTTCAAGTTAATTAATAAACAAATTTGCATCCTTTTTTCAGCCATGTCAACGTAAAATTGAATTCAAAATACCAAAGTCATATGTGAATACTGGTAAAAGAGTGGAAAATTTTTTTGATATTGGTACTGTTAATATGCAAATTATTTTCGAGAAAGAATCTCGAGATTGCATTCATCGTTCATAACGTGTAATTTTGAGCTTTCTTCTGATCAATGCCATCTTATGCACAATAATAAACTTGAAAAAAGTGATGCAAATAA